AGATACAGCCTCCGTTTTTTAACAAATCATTTGAAAAAAAAAAATGATTCCATGGCTCATTCTTATAGACAGGCACTTGTTGCCACCTACTGGTGGTTTTAGTCCTGTATTCATTTATGCAGGGCAAACATAAACCAAACAATTAGTCAGCATAAATAAACACTCAGCAAAATATTGTTTAATGGTTGTCCTTATTCATTTGTTTGTTGTTATTATTATGTATTTGCTTAAACCTAACCCTAAGTTATGTAAAGGTTTAAAAATTGCTCTAGTTGTTTGTATTTATGTATTTACCAAAGACATAGACATAGACATGACATCTTATTCTTGTTTGTTATTATTTGTTTATTGCGTTTATTTGTCTAGTTTTGGATAGGTTTAAAAATTGCTCTTACATTGTTTTTATATATGTATGTTTGTTTTATATATTTTCGTAGTGTTTATAAATGTATGATTACGTTTTTTTATGTAGCACACAACATTTTTATGCGGGACACAACATTTCGTTTCACTTTATGTGCACAATGTGGAATGACAATAAAACTCGACTTGACTTGATCTTCATTTTAAAAGCTAGAAAGCTTCTTGTCAGCACTTCCCCAGCAACCAGGAGATGCCAGGAGAGTCTGTCTGCCCCCTACAGGGATGCCCTTTCCCATATAAATGGCAGACTTTATTATTAGCCAGTGCCCTTACCTGCAGAGACCTCCATCAGTGTTGATGTGCGCTGTAATGGGGGAGGGGTTCACATGTTATGCGTCACAGACACACGCTAGACATCAGACTCAGGCCAGGAAGTTCAAATGTGCCCCAGTCAATATTGCAACAGAAACCAAACCATTAAACATATACTTGTGGAATTCCCTGTTTCTAATGGTATCAGACAATGCTTTTTATCTGGAGAGACTTTAAATGAAATATTTTTTAAATGTGAAAACTTCCAAAATTAGTCATAAATTATTATTATTATCATTATTTTTTATCGTTTTTTGATTTGTATCTTATACACTCACCGGCCACTTTATTAGGTACACCTTACTAGTATTAGGTTGGACCCCCTTTTGCCTTCAGAAGTGCCTTAATCCTTCAACAAGGTACTGGAAATATTCCTCAGATTTTGGTCCATGTTGACATGATAGCATCATGCAGTTGCTGCAGATTTGACTGCTGCACATCCATGATGTAAATCTCCCGTTCCACCACATCCCAAAGGTGCTCTATTGGATTGATTCTGGTGACTGTGGAGGCCATTTGAGTACAGTGAACTCAATGTCATGTTCAAGAAACCATTCTGAGATGGTTTGATCGCAGAATAGATCCATGGTTTCATGTTGTTGATACCAAATTCTGACCCTACCATCCAAATTTTGCAGCAGAAATCGAGACCTATCAGACCAGGCAACATTTTTCCAATCTACTATTGTCCAATTTTGGTGAGCCTGAGCGAACTGTAGCCTCAGTTTCCTGTTCTTAGCTGACAGGAGTAACACCCGGTGTGGCCCATCCACCTCAAGCTGGACATGTTGTGTGTTCAGAGATGCTCTTCTGCATACCTCTGTTTTAACTAGTGGTTATTTAAGTTACTTTATAGTTATTTGTCTTGCTGTCATATGATATATGATTGTTTAATTAGAAATTTACTTTCACGAGCAGTTGGACAGCTGTACCTAATAAAGTGACCGGTTAGTGTATTAACATTATTATTAGCATTTATGTGTTATATATTGCTGTAGATGACTTTTTATTGGTAAAATACTTTTAAAATTATATTATTTTATATTAAAATGTGGTAAACTTGATCTGTTTTTGCCACGATATAGCCAGAAAACTCTCTCTCTCTCTAGGATGTGCCCCATAATGCATTAGAAAACTTGCACACCCTTGCTCTTTAATGACATTTTCATGTAGTGTTTATGCAGGGTTTAACTGGATATTTTTTAGGTGTTGACTAGCACTGTTTCATGTTTAAGAGCTGCTCTCCCGACAGGCAGCAGTCTGGCATGGTGTGTCTGGCAGCGCTATTACGAGAATCCGGCCCTTGGTGAGGTGCCAGCATCCATGTTAAACGCTGACTATTGTTTACAGCTCTGTGTTTGGAGTAATTATAAAGGCAGCAGAATGGATCTGCATGCTGCCACAGGTCCCGACATTACAGCTGATGTTTTGCAGCTGTGGACGTGTGTGGGGGTTTGACGTCACACCGGCAGCTGGGAAAGCGGATCGGAATCTGTGCGGTAACGTTGGCAACCGTCTGCAGACCTGTCAGGCGCTGTTGTTTTCATCTGTCACAGTAAACAATCCCAGAATGCACTTGAAAAAAAAAAAGAAATGGCTCAGAAATACGATGACTGCCGCAGTGTGGTTAATGTAGTTATCGATTTGTTTTCAGTGTTATAATATATGTTTATGGAAAATGTCGCCTCTTGGGAAAAATACCAGCATTTTTGTTTCATTTATGACCTTTGTTTAGTCATTTTCAGTGTGTAAATGACTAGAGGATGTGATGTAGATTAAACATTCTCTTTATTATATTTTTACATCAGTACAGTTTATGTATACGCAAGTAAGCATTTCTTTTTCTTTTAAACAAGAAGTTCAAGAACGTCATGTTGATATACAGTTAAATATACAAGTCAGAACTTTGAATTATTAGTCGCCTGTTTATCCCCCCCCCCAATTTTTGTTTAACGGAGAGAAGATTTTTTCAACACATTTCTAAACATAATAGTTTTAAAAACTCATTTCTAATAACTGATTTATTTTATGTTTGCCATGATGACAGGAAAAATATCTAGTCAAATATTATTTAAAGACACTTCTATACAGCTTAAAGTGACATTTAAAGGCTTAACTTGGTTAATTGGGTTAACTAGGCAGGTTAGGGTAATTAGGCAAGTTATTGTATGATGATGGTTTGTTTTGTAGACTATCGGAAAAAAAAAACTTAATGTTTAAAAAAAATTTAAAAACTGCTTTCATTCTAGCCGAAATAAGACAAACAAGACTTTCTCCTTTTATTTTCTTCTTTAAAGGTAAATGTGCCAGATATTTTAATAAATCTTGCCTTTGGTTTAATTAGTTTCTTCCAAGCTTATCTGAGTTCTATTGCATAGTTGCTCTCCATTGATTTATTTAACTACAACTGTTTATTAAGTTAAAGGTTTGATACTCAAATGTGCGCCCATAGGCGTTCTGGTCTAAAAAAGCAGGCGTGTTTTGGCGCGTTGCTATTTTGAGAAACTGTAAATAGTCTGATCTTTAGACCAGAACAAAGTCGGCCTATTGTCTGGCGCAAAGTAAGCCTGGCTTACACACAAGATGTAGAGCTATACGAAAATATTTTTAGATATATAATAATATATAATATCTTAAGGATATATATATACATATATATATATATATATATATATATATATATATATATATATATATATATATATATATATATATATATATATATATATATAATAAGGATATATACAGGATATAAATATAAATGATTAAAATATTACAAAACATATTAATTTCTAGCCTACATGAAGATTTAAAAACCGCTGCCTTACTTTCTTCATCTCGGGAGGCTTTTTCAGTTCATTCATAACATTTGCTTTTGTATAATGTTATTATTATTAGCAGTATTATTTATTATATCCATATTTATATTTGTTTTTAAAAAACAAGCTTAGATTTGTCCACCTGTCAAGTTTTAGACCATATGGGGCATGGCAGGTGTATTTGTAAATAACTCAGTATTTTGACCACACTTTGTTATTATTGTTCATTTATTCGTTTGCTAGAAATTAGAACTGAATTTAGAAATAGTTTTGAAACAAATATTTGCGCTTAACAAACGAAATGAATTATTTATAGGCTAATTGATGTCTGTGCGGTAAGGTTTCCCTATCCACGAGAGCAAAAGCGAAAGTGAATTTACTTTACGTCAAGATGCGCTTACGGCGCGACGCAGCTGGCTCTTAAAGGGAATGGGAGATGAGACTCTAATTGGTTTATTCTCAAAACACACCTATAACTCATTAAGAAAGTAAACTCAACCCGTTTAGACTATGCGCCATGGCGCAAAGCGGATTTTCCTGTCCGTAAATTAGCAAAAATGCGTTCTGACACGCCCTGAAAGCGTTTGCGCCCTGCGTTTTGCGCTCTGCGCATGGACCGTCAAAATAGAGCCCTTAAAGTGGCGATGAGGTCCTAATGTCTTTAAAAAGTCCTCTTAAGGTATTGAAATCACCTTTAGGATTCCTGCATATACCCTGAACGATGTTAAATGGCCAGCTATTTTAAAGCACTTCTTTTTAAGCAATCATTATCAGCAGTGATTGTTTTTGCATGTCTGCTTGTTCTCTCCAAGCGCTGAGGGTTTCGCGATACAGGAGGCTTTGTTTGCCGCCGAGTCATGAGACTTTAGCTGCTCGTTTAACTACATTCAAGAAGCTTGAGGGCCTCATGTTCCCTGTTAGCCAGACACTGGGGCCCGCTGGAGGCGCGCTGCTGTTGTTCCAGTCCCTCCTTTACTGTGCCTTTTTGACCTTAAGGAAATGATTACGGTCAGGAGCGCTCTACTGTTGTTTTTGGAGGATTGAGAAACCCTTGTCCTGTGTATTTATATAGCTTTGTTTCCTTTCGTCTGCATTCCGCAGTGCCGCAGGGAGAGCATTCCACTCTCCGGCCTCCTAATAGGGCTCAGGAAAGAGATATTTTACATCTGCGCGATATGAGGTTTCCCCCCTCCGCGGACTCCATTTGACTCTCTCCATTTACAGTCATGGCCTGACAGACTGTAAGAATAAGTGTTGGCGAGTATCACGTATTTATGATACGGGCCTGTTGGCAAAGCATCCTGGATTTGTGCAGAATTGATGACTGGCTGAAACACACGGGGCCTTGTTAGAGTCGCTGGCCTGCAGCGGTGTGTGTTCTGACTGCTGACTGCGGCAGGTGTCCAGTGCCCTGGCTGATCCTTGCCATACCTTCTCTCTTTTCAGGAAATGGCAGACTTCAGGACCAGAGCCCTAATAACCGGAGGTCTCCCGAGAGATGCGCCTTGCAGTCTGTTGGGGTAGAGAGGTTTGCCATGGCAACAGCAGACAACAGCCAACCAGAGCAGTCCAGGTAATAATAGATCTTGTTTTCAGAGCAGGAAGGCACACAAGCCCTCGGCCCTTTCGTGTTTCATGCTACACAGCGTGTAACCATAGTAGTGGGCCCTACTACTTCTTTTCCCAAGCCAAAAGAATGCTTTTCTTTTATTTATGGAGCGTGGTTAGGCCGTCTTGTCTTTTTCATTTAAACACGCCTCCGTAATGTTCCATAAGCAAGTCACTTAAAAAAAAAAACGGAGCAAGTTTTGCTCAAGTGTCCCTTGGTGCCTTAACACAACTCATCAGAATGACAGCACGAGAAGCAGTTCGTTGATGTTGGTGCTTAGATTTGTTCTTGGACTGTGATGTTGCAGGGGGAGTTCTCGAAAATACAGACGTGCTTTTTTGATCCTGTTCCAAACACTTTCTGAGCCACATCTGCTAATTTATTTGGGCCTCCTTGAAGAAAATTTGTCATGAGGAGCAAGAACATTCAAAGTGTAGTTTATTTAGCTGTCGTTAGGCAAACAGGAGATCGTTTGCAACTGACGCTAATGAAAAATACCTAATAGTGTCATGGCTTTTTAAATGTTTTTATTTTATTTGATATTATTTAATGTATGTGTGTGTGTGTGTGTATAGTGGTGCTATTTAAAGTTTCTTAGACTTTGGTTTAGTTTATTTAGCTGTTTTTGGGAAAACAGAAGACATTTTGCAGCTCATGCTAACAAAACTTACTGTGAAGTGTCATGGCTTTTTAAAATGTGTAGTGTATAGCAATGCTTTTTATTATTGTTATTATATCTATATGTACAATGGTGCTATTTTTAAGTTTTTTAGACTTCTGTGTAAATACAATTGTGTGTGAAAAAGTGATTGACCAGAACAATTAACATCATGCTACAAACATTTCTACAGAATTGTGACACTAAAGACTTGAGCAGTCTTACCATCCTTATTCGATTAAAATAGAAGGGTTTATTAGAAATGAATAAAGAAAATATGATATATATTTGAAGCTGGATTTATGAATTAATATTTTTGTGAAATATGCATCATCCATTGGCAAAACGGACTAGTATTACTTATAAACTAATCTAGAATGGTGCATATGCACACTGACTTTACATTTCAGCCATGTCAGCGCTTCCGGTGAACTGTCTTTCCATTATAAAGTTGCCACGTTTTAAGGTCTGATTTCTTTAAATATCAAAAATCTTCGCTGTCTGAGAGATATACAATATAAAGTGGGTCTCAGACCGGACAAGAAGCACTGCATTCAGGGTATCTGCAGGATCTTAAAAAGTCTTAAAGTCTTAATTTCACAATTTTAGGCCTTTAAAGGTCTTAAATTCACTGAAATATTGTGTTGTAGGGTCTTAAATCATTTAAAACAGGTCTTAATTTTCCTATGTATATTCAAATCCAATCACCAACATTCTATCTCAATAAAAGTTTTAACAAAAGTTTATTTATTAACTCTATTTGCCAACTCTATATTTATGTTTATAAACATATGGTTTAATTATCTTCCTTACAATAACATTTGTTTTTAATTTTTTTTGTGTTTTAACTGGGCCATTAGAAACAATTCTTAGCATTTAGCCTTGTGTAAGTCTGAAATTTAATTCATAATGGCATAAAAAAGGTCTTAAAGTCTTAAATTTGACATGATAAAACCTGCAGAAACCCTGGCGTTAAATTCCATTTTCTGCCACCATGTCTTTGAAATATTTTACTCCAGTATTTTCAATAGAGCTTCTGCTGATCCTGATGGTGCTAGCGGTTACATCTTTCATCTTGTTTTACACTTAAACAACTAAATGAACTCTTAAGTCTACATAATCGAATGTATTGTAATTACATTACAACATTGGTGCTGTAAAAGGAACCTTGTGAAATTGAAAATAGTCACATTAAGCTTTCACTGTAAGTTTATCATTGCCTGAAATACACTAGCTGTGCATATAGCCCATTATATGCCAATGGCAATACAAATAAAATCTATAATATTCCTTATCATATGATACTTCTATTTGCATCTTAGTATCATGAATATGGCAACAATTCAGTACATGATATTAAAAAAAGATTGATTGATGGATATTTCTTCCGAAAATTCTAAATACATGGTCATTTAGACCTGTGTTTCTCAACCACGTTCCTGGAGGACCACCAACACTACATGTTTTGGATGTCTTCTTTGTCTGTTACACCCATTACAGGTCTTTCAGTCTCTGCTAATGAGCTGATGATCTGAATCAAGTGTGTTTGGTTAAGTAGACATGGAAAATGTGCAGATCTGGTGGTCCTCCAGGAACGTGGTTGAGAAACGCTGATTTAGATCATTTTTGGCATAAACTGACAATTGGTCAAATTAGCAAACAAGATGGCCAACAAACACAATACCAATGCTTTTAAATCAACACTGGGAGGAATAGCCCTATTTTTCAGTCAAAACCAACACAAACCTGTATTATTTTAACCAGTTGTCATTTTCTGAGGTGAGAGAACTTCTCTAATTCACAATATTTTTGCTTTGAAATTAGACCTTTTATAAAAATTATTAATTACTAATTGTACTCTAACCCACACATACATGATCTCATTTTCCTTTCCATACAGTTTATATATAGTTTTTGGTGGTATTTCTTCCATTCTTTTGTTCTCTGTAACAGTAAGGGCTCTTCTCAAAAACAAGTGAGAGAGAAAGAGTGAAAGTCATACATCTGCAGGTTAGCGAGCGCTCGACACAAGATGTGCACACACGAGCAGCTCTGGGAAGTCTCTGAGCAGCCTCTGGTTCCCATGGCAACTGCGGGGCGGTCTCTATCAGCTCCATCTGAGAATAGGTAAAGTAAATCTGCATGCATCTGGCCGCCCGCCAGCGTCTCAAATGAAAGAGCACTTTGAATGGCTGCCAGGTTTGGTGGAGGAGAGAGGCTGTCAGGCCTGCTTAATGTTGGCAGTTTGTACTTGGCAGGACTCGCCTTTTCCCAGAATCCCTCACTCTGGCAGCCCGCCAGCCACTTAGCGGAAGCTGAGAGTTAACCCCTGCGATAAGCTGCTGGAAAGATGAACATGGAAAACTTTCCATGCGGAGTGTGTGTGCGCTAGTGTGTGTGCTCCTACATGTATGCATGTATGTGCCTCTCTCTCTCTTTCTCTCTCTGTATATGTGTGTGTGTGTGTGTGAGTGAGAGAGAGAGAGCCCGCCAAGCCTCAGGGTGATCTGTATTCATGAGAAGACTACAGGGACAGCGAAACATCTCTCAGTGAAAGGAAAGGAGGGTGAAATATCCTTTACAGGCAGACTGCAAACGCATAGTATTTAACAGGATTGCATTTTTTGCTCCTAAAATACAAATTAAATGATTTTTTTGCAATGAATTTGACAATGAAAATGAAATAGGAATATTCTCTATATGTTCTTGTGTAGTGCTGGTTTTATTTTAAAGGGATATTTTATCCAAAACTGATCCTAGGGCTGCACAGTATATCGTTTCAGCATCGATATCGGAATGTGCGAATCTGCAATAGTCACATCGCAGGCATCTGCAATGTAGTTGGGATTATAGTTGACCAGACATTACAGTTAACAACGTAGTGGGCTCATTTCAAATTTGAACCTATGAGAGAAAGTTTATTGTTTGCATGTAGGGCTGCGTGATATGGCAAAAATGCAATCTTGATAATTATTTTCTATATTGAACGGTAACAATAAATATTTTGATAATAGTTCTAATGCTTCCAGATAAAAAAAAGTACCAAAACAATGACTGAAGCCACAAAAATTAGCGGATCCATTTAAATGCCGTAACATTTTTAACAATAAATTTTTGATGGCCGAAAACACTTTTACATTACCATTGCACATTTCTGCGGTGTGATTGGCTCTTAGATCACAATAGAGTAAAAAAAAAATCCTGTGCTTTTCGTTATTATTGACATCAATTTGATTGGGATTGGATATAATTTCAGCCCAGACCTATTTGCATGTGTTTTAAAGGCCTGACTTTAAGAAATTGAAGCAAACATGGGTCATTTGGACACAATAAATTAAACGTTTCTAGCTTAAGGATTAATTGAACATTATATAATTATTTACTCAAAACGATAGTATTATTATTGTTATTATTATTATTGTTAATATAATTATACTTTGATTATTTAATTTTTTCCCTTTGAATACTGTTTGACTCCCCAGAAAATGATAAATTATTGTTTATTTGCATCTTTTATCTGTTGTATTTTTTCTATTATATTTTATGCGGATATGCTTCCCTATCATCCAAATCGATCTAAAATTATGAATTTTTTACAAGCTATTCAAGTCAGCTGGTGAAATTGTATTTATATCGTAATATGTATCGTATTTAATTAAAATATTGCAATGTTAGTTTTTTCCAATATTGTGCAGCCCTAATTCATTTACGCACCCTTTACTTGTTCCAAGTACATTGACTTCCATAGTAGAGCTGCACAGTACACTACCTGACCAAAGTCTTGTCACCTGTTCAAGTTTTAGGAACAACAAATAATATCTTGACTTCAAGTTGATCATTTGGTATCAGGCTTATATAAAAGGCAAAGTCCTCTAGATTACGCTTATTTTACCAAAATAAAATATGATCATGTCATTTTTTTTATTATTAAATTAGGACAGTAAGGTCTGACTTTGCTTAGACAAACGTCTTGTCACTTAACATAAATAATGTACAGTATAGAATATAAAGTCATAGTGCAGTGAAAAAAGAGTTAATATTGTATATGATTCCCATGAGCTTGGAGGACTGCATCCATACATCTCTGCAATGACTCAAATCACTCATTAATAAATTCATCTAAAATGGCAAAGAAAGCATTCTGGCATGACTCCCAGAGTTCATCAAGATTCTTTGGATTCATCTTTAATGTCTCCTTAGTTTTACCCCAGAAATGCTCAATAATGTTCATGTCTGGTGACGGGGCTGGCCAATCCTGGAGCATCTTGACCATCTTTGCTTTCAGGAACATTGAGGTGGAGGCTGA